GATTGTAGATTAGGGCATTCCAGAGTTACGGCTGGTATGTGTAGGATACCTGTATGGAAGCCTTCTGTTAAACCAGAGATGAGAATGTCTACTAGGTGTCTAGATGGGTGCTGAGACATAAATGCCATGAATACTGGCATATTAATGGACGTTAGGTAAGGCTTGGAATACATTTTATTTGGACACATGGTCTTTGCATGTGCCCTAAAACATTTTGAACAGACATGCAATAGTCTACATCCACTGTAATTACAAGACCCAACATTGAAATTATTACATATCTGGGACTTGCCCAGAAACTTGATTAGGTGTCCCAGTACTTCTCTGGAACCCCAGAAGAACTAGCTCCTTGCGAGGAGGCATGTTCGTCTGCCTTGTTGAGACAAAAATTTGTTGTATGGGCTGTGGAGGAGCAGTATGCACAAGCTGGTGTTCTTAGAACTGCAAAGTGTCTGCAAAAATGATGGTAACAATCCTTCCCCAGTTGGATCGTGTTCCGTACTGGGAGAAGGCTCCAGACACTTTTGCAGAAAAAGACCTATGGTAGTCATAGAAGGCTGAACCACCATATTTGTTGCCCAAGTCTACCAGCTTGTGCATATAGAGATCAAACTCCTCTCTTCTGTTGGGATGGACCGCACAGATGACATCCCTGTAAATACCAAAAGCTAGTACAAATTCAGGGATAGTCAGTTTCCTGTTCAGGTGGGCATCCCTAGATCTGACAACAACAGATACATCATCATAAGCATACGTCTTATTCTCAACAATATCCTGGGAGGCAATCAACAGGGAAGCCAGGTTGACGTCTTTACCTTCCAGGATATCCCTTTTTATGTGCTCAGGTATCATATGAGCCGGGCATCCAGGGTGATGGCTGGAGCAACTAATGGCAAGTCGTCTGGTGCTTGTGAAGCAGCAGCTGGTGGCCCTGGTAGAGTAAGAGCTGTGGTGACTGACTCAAGTTTCTCCAGCCTGGAGTTAACCTTGCTCATGGACGCCATGAGTGAGGATAACATGGCATGTATGTCTCCTGGGTTGGACTGGCTAGGTCCTTCCCCAGCATCCATGTTATTTGTAGATGTGCGTAGCAGTTTGAAAAGTTCTGCTTTCCTTGCTGTAGCGGGGTAGGGGATTTGTCATCTCCTCAATTCTGTGGTTATAAGCGGGATAGTCCAGGATCTGATCGATGCTGGACTAGCTAGCTCTCCTCCTTGTGTGGGAGTAACAGCTCTAGCCGGGGTGCTAGGCAGGGAGAAATCCTCTACCCCTTCCTGAGACATCCTATAAATAAAACAATTAATTAGTATATGAAACCACCAAATTGTACTGGCAGGCTAGCTGGGCCGGGTGGTGAAAAATTATACTTGTTTGGTGACAGATGAGGCCCTGCTAATTGCCAAGCGGCTTGAGAGGCTCTATCTATGCGTTGGCGCAAGGGGTTATTGAGGCCACTCGTTGTAGTGGCAGGAGTTTTAGGCCTCTCAGTGACTGTAAGACAGAAAACAGGGGAAGGGAGTGACAGGTGAGGCCCTCTCTATGCAACATGCGAGGCGGCTAGCTAACGTGTGGCCCGATGGGTGTTTGCCTCTGAAACGTTTGAGGCGGGGTGTTGGCCTCGCGGGACCACTAACTGATGATGACTGCCAAGATGGGGTAAACACCTATTGGGAAGCCTGTGACCCTATTGCCAGTACTCTAACCTAGGGGGACGGAATGAAATGTATGGTAGAATACCATATGAGCAGGTGGACGTACCTGATAGTATAACAAATTCACAGGAAAACCGTGTGGAGTAAATATATATATAAGCTTGACAGCCTGAAATGGGTAAAAGAGAGTAGTATGATGAGTGTGGATTGTTGGAAAGAAAATAGACTTATAGCCTGTAGCAGCAATGTTTTTATGGTTTGCTGGCGTTGTTCTAGATAATTTACTGCAAACCAATTAGTTTGAATGACTATCTGTTCCTGTCCAAATTAAAGATAATAAAGTTGCGTGCACGCAGAAGTAAATTCACACTGAGACACAAGGTTCAGGGTAATGAAAGAACTTCAGAGAAGTTTAATGGCTTCTGACAGAAAATGGGTGCGCAGACCCTTATAAAGGCATTATTACATCATTGAAGAAAATCAAGATATAGACAAATAGACATTGTTAATTGGCTTAGGTGCTAAGATGTTAGTAAAATGCCCTCCCCATTCTTAGGTCACTATCTACGTAATTTCTTAACTCCTACAGGTTTTAGCGCCATTTTGTTAAAATGAGGAGCTCACTCGACGGGAGGGGCCTTTTGGCAGCTATCCATTTGGAGCGTAGCTGGCACTTGTTAGTTTCTCAAGGTTAAGTTTCAAGGATTTTAGTAAATACACATTTTATCAAAGCTATTTCTTGCTGACATGCAAATTCTATGTTCTATAGACAAAGCTTCCTTGTAAAACTATGGGGGCCTCTTAGAGGTATATCAAGAGGATTTAAAGGGGCCTTACAAATTTATAGAGGCCTAATAATTCTACAACAGTCCCCCCTAAAATGTTATTTGCTAAAAGACAAAACTTTATTTGTTAGTATCAGAAGAAGTATTAGCCCAAAGACACAGAAACCCCATGACCGCTGACTTAGTGTTAATGCAAAGTGCAAGTCTATCCCTCTCTTGACCCTAACAGGCTGCAGCACATCCGTCAGTACGGTTCAGGAACACTCTTCACTCCGCTGGTAACCCATAGTGGCTTATCCACTACTTCTCCGTACGGCAGTCTACCCATAAAGACGGACGCTGTCCCTGTACTGTCCCTTCCTAGACTTTCTGCACTTCATCAGTATACGGGAGAGTTTGTAGCGGAATACAGGGTGAGATGAGGTCTTGATCATCGATTGTCAGATGAGTGAAGGTTGGTGTTGCTTGGTCAACAGTTTTCTGCAGGAATTTCCTTAGGCATGGGAGGCCACAACAAATGAGAAGAGCGAGAATAAAAAGAAAAATTAGTAAGGCAATACCAATCTGGACTAAAGCTCTCTGCCAACCAGTCATCCAACCAAACCATTTTTCCCAGGGATCAGTAACTCCAGAGTTTCTCTTTAACTCCTCTGAGAGTCTATTTAATTTAGCTATGGCTAGAGTGACTTTACCATTAGGACCTGTGTTTTCTGGAATGTAAGTGCAACAAGTCATAGTGTCGGGAAGTATTTTACAGACCCCCCCTTTTTCGGCTAAGATCATGTCTAAGGCCAGTCTGTTCTGGAAGGTCATTTGGGATGTGGCCTGTAATTGCTCGGCCAAGCCCTGGAGGGCATCCCTGGTGTAGTTCACGAAGCGCTGTTGGTTGTAATAGATATAATTAATCCAATTAAGGTTTTTGTTGGCAGTGACTATGGTAAAAAGTGATTCAAAACCTGCAGCTACTTCATCTCTAGCTTTAAATTCATTAGGTACCCCCCTAGGCACCCCAATGGCATCTATGTAAATGTGGGGGTCAAAACTGCCTTTTACTGGGGTTTCGCACCTTACTCTGGCTGGTGTATGTGGAGGGTTGTATGTGTCATGATGATTATCAGAAATAATATGAATGGGCATGATAACTTTGGCCAGGGTACACTCACCCCACCACTCAGTTTCCAGCCTAGATCTTAACTGTAGATCCCCACATAACCAGTAAATATCCCCCAATGACCTGGTATGGTGTTGCAACAGGCGTATAGGAACAGTTCTGTAAGTGGCGCAATAACCTTTAGAAAAGTTACCCATGAATTTACCAATCCAGTCATACACGGCATAACAAGTGTAATTACCTCTATAGACTGTGATTCCATCTGGTGGCTTAACATTTTCAAATAAGAGAGGGTATTCTGCCGTCCATGCCATGCAGAGGGACCTATTAAAGTCATATTGGTAGGCAAAAAGGCTTAAGAAGCAATCTTCTATCTCTAAAGGGAGAGTTAGGGGGACGGTGCCAAGGTGGGGTCGGGCACCGCCACATACATAACATGCTGTTTTATTATGTTTGTTGGCATTATACCTCATCCATTCTAACCACAAATTAATGTCATTGAATCCAGTTTCAGCGGCCATGGTATCTTCAAAAGTGGGGTTAGCGATGGCCATCATATCTTTAAAGGACTGGATATGTGGTTTTAGCGGATTTGGGACCATATGATCAGCCCCTTGCCACTCTGGAGAGTGGTACATATCTCTGAGGTAGAAATGACCTAATTTGTTGTAGGAACCTTTCTTCCAATACATTCCCATTACATATCGGTCTGCATCCTCGGGGCCAGGATGTTCAATATTTAACATTAATTTCATAGGGGTACTTCCTCCAGGCTTTCTTAAAGTCATTCTTTGAAGGAGGGATCTACCCTGATTGTCTATCTTAGATAAAGCACTTTTGGGTTTATAACCCCAGGCAGGCCCAGTATTCCATCCCGCAGCCCCCCAGTAGTTACAGTCATAACCCCATTGTTCATCTACTACACAAACGTAAGGGTCTTTTGCTTGTGGTATATCTTTATAAATGGCTTGAATCTGTGACTTAGGGAATGGGCATTCTACAATATCACAGTAATCAAAAGTGAATGTAGCCACATGGGTACATGATGAATTATACCAGAAAGTGTACCCACTAGCATCTTTGGTGATGGCCACCTGCTGGGCTTTAAGGAGGCCAACTAAGGAGATAATGTACCAGAGGCACATGGTTGCATAGAGTTAGCTTCCTCTGGGGCAGGTGTCTTCTTGCAGTGGGAAGCGTGGATCCAGTTAGGCCTTCCGGCCAATTTGACAGAGGTAGGGGAGATCAGGAGAACTTGGAACGGTCCGTCAAATCTTGGTTCCAGGGTGTGTTTTCGCACAAATTTCTTGACCAGAACCCAGTCACCGGGGAGCAGACTGTGGTTGCCTGTGTCAGAATCAGGATCTGGAATTTTAGAGAAAACTTGGACATGGATTTTGTTCAAAGCATTTGCGAGTTCAGTTACATAATCTACTAAAACATCAGTTTGAAGTTGTAGTTGTTGGGGAAAATAGCAACCTAGCCTAGGTGCAGTCCCAAATAGAATCTCGTATGGGGACAATGAGGTAGTATTTTTGTACAAGAGCATTCATTAGATCTTTTGATAAATGTGCAGGTCTGTGTGCCCATTGTACGACTGCTGGGTACAAATTCTTAGGGAGGCAGAAATTGAGGTTGTTGGAGTACACTCCATCCTTCAGAACTGCCCCTTACTGTTTCCACTTCTGTATTTCTTCAGGGGCAACTGTAGCCTGTTGTTCCAGCAGGATTTTCAGGTCAGTTGGAAGAGTCTGCAGAGTAAATATGGGAGTTTCTTCATTTCCGGACACTCTTCTTTCCACTTCCTGTGGTTCTTTTGCAGCCTGATCAGCTAGATGGTTGCCCTTTGCTTCATCTGAGTCCAACTTCCCATGTGCTTTTATCTTCAAAATAGCCACTTCTTCTGGGAGTAGGAGGGCGTCCATCAGCTCCTTGATCGCGGAACGGTGCTTGATTGGTGTACCGGTGGTGGTAAGAAATCCTCTTGTTTTCCAAATTAATCCGAAGTCGTGAGCCACGCCCAGTGCATATCTTGAATCCGTGTAGATATTGGCGCGCTTTCCTTCAGAGATCTTGCATGCTGAAGTCAGGGCTTGCAATTCAACTTCTTGTGCAGACATAGTTGATGGTAAAGATGATGATTTGACAATTTCATCTGTTGTGGTTACGGCATATCCTGTATGGTATCTTCCTTCTTCATCAGCATATCTTGAGCCGTCCACAAACAGGGTGAGATTGGGATCTACCAATGGGTCTTCATGCACAGTTGGTAGATGTGTTGTTTCCATTTTCATCTGTTCAAAACAGTCATGAGGTGTATCTGGGTCGTATTCATTCACTATGGTTAAATCTTGGAACTTATTTTCCAGGAAATGACGTGGCCATGCTTTTAGGTGGTCAGTTGTTGGATATTTGACAACACCATTTTCCTGTAGCTGTGATTCGTCCATAGTGGCCCATGCTTTTGCCATAGGCCCAAGATCATTCCATGATATTGTTTTCAACTTGGTCACAGGGACATGTGGAATGGCAGTGTCCCAATGGCGGTACAAATGCTTGAGTTCCGGAGGTAGATGAATCAAGACCATACTGTTGCCTTCAGAATCACAGTAGAAGTCTTGTGCAGTGAGTTTTACTTCGACCAGATGATAGAGTTCATCTTCATAGCAGGGTTCAGGAGTGATGTTTGATTTGTACCACATGGTACAGAAGGCATATCCTGCTCCGTCATGAAGGAGTGCTTGTCCATCATGAAAGGATAGGTTGGGATGCATTTCCTTCTTGATGGTGCCAGTGAGAAGAAAAACATAAGTTTCGTCCATGATGAATCCGTAGTATACAGATGAATCCGTAGTATACACCCCCCTCAGGGAGTGGCAGAAGAGTGGACGGATTGAGAACTTGACATCTTTGGAGGGTAATGTTGTCAGGCAACAAAAGATGACATTGAAGGCGAAGATGCCTAGCAGGAGTAACATGCTTAAGTTGGACCTGGTTGACTATGGCAGAAATGTCATGAGGGGCCAAGACAACCAGGGGGTGGCCAAGGACAAGATCCCCAGTTCTTTCAATGAGCTCTCTGGCAGCAAAGACGGCCCGAAGGCAAGAGGGACGTCCTCTGGCCACAATATCCAGTTGGCAGGAGAAAAATCCAATAGGCCTTTGGCAGCCTCCAGGACCATGAGCCTGAGTGAGTACTCCTGTTGCATGGCCTTGTCTTTCAGAAACAAACAATTTGAAGGGTTTGGTATAGTCTGGTAGGCCAAGAGCAGGAGCAGAAGCAATAGCACGTTTGAGAGAACAGAAGTTGTCAAGGGCTTCTGTGGACAAGCAAAATGGGTCTGACTTGAGAGCATCATAAAGAGGTTGCATAAGGAGCGAGGCTTCTGGGATCCATGCTCGGCAATAGGAAATGAGGCCTAGGAAGGCGTGTAGTGACTTTGAGATCCTTGGAGGTGGAATGTCCAGTACTGCTCTAACTCGGTCACGAGTGAGATGTCTGGTTCCCTGAGACAGACAATGGCCAAGGAAGATAACAGTAGATTGGCAATATTGCAGCTTGGGACGTGAAGCTTTACATCCTTGTTCTGCTAGGTAGCAAAGAAGATTAATTGAGCATTGTTCTGTTGTGGGTAGATCATCTCCACAGTAAAATGGGAAGGGAACAAAGAACTGTAGTGTCTTTTCGTGACAAAGGTGTATTTAATTGAACCTGGCCGTCTGCAGTGAGGGTGATGGATGCTTGGAGGCAGGATAGGACATCAGCACCAACACAAGAGACATCGGTGTCAGGCAGGAACGATGAGTCAGGCAGGTCTTGTTCTCTAGGAACACTGCGGGATGCACCTGTGTTAACCAGGAAACCAGGAAAGCAGTAGGGTGACCTTCAATAGGTAAAGTTACAGTGGCTAGTGGCCCCCCTTGTTCCCTGTAGACACTGCCATGGCAGGGGCATTAAGCATCAGCGGGTTTGCTCTCCTCTGTATGGGCTGTGTTACTGACTCAAACCCCTTTCTATGTCATTAGCCATAGCTTTTTTTGCAGTCTGAATATGTCTATCATTATAAATAATGGTTAATAGTAAGTTAAGTAAAGTTCCTATATGTCTTTGGATAAAACATTAACTATTGCGGTACTATCATTTATATTAATTAGACTATAACAATTATACCACCCTGTAACTAAGTAAACAACCAGTAGTGGCTGGGTTAATAAAACATGCCACAAACCCTTCTAATGCTAAACCATCATTTAACGTAAAGGATGTTACTGTAAACATACGATCTGTAACTAGCAAGATTCGATTAAGTAAAGATACAATGTTTAAAATAACTTGCATTATTTGGCTATTTCCCTTGTTGCAAGATTAATCTGGATAATCAGCTGTTATGCTCTTATATTCGTGTCCAACAGATTTCATATGTAGGTCACACCACATTTGCAAATTACATTTTAGCAACCTTCTTTTTTTTTTTTATATCACGGACAAATTGCTGATACAGGGAAACAAATGGCATGATTGTTTTAGTAATTATAATGTTTCAGTTCATAATATGTAGAGTGTAAGGAAAATCACGTCTCTAAATGGGACGAGCATAATAGGGGTAGGCCTCATGATGGAGGCAGCCATGACAGGGGCGGGGAAGGAAATGACAGCAAGGGAGGAAGTGAGAGGGGTGACGTCCATGATATGTGTGGGAAAGGAAGACAGGAGGTGTGGGCATGGTAAGGGCGGAAGTGACGTTACTTTAGAAGCAACCGTGACTGTGGATAGGTCATGGGACTGGCAGGCGCCATCTTTAGGGTGGTGGTTGACGTACTTTCAACCATACACTATATTATAACTATTAAAATAAGTCAGAGAAGCAACATTCTGTTCTGCAAAATGAAATACTAAACTATGAACAGACCTGGCAGGTTGAATAAGACAGTTGAGAACATTATGCATTTAACAGCCCATACAGCTGTTTCTAGAAACATGTACTTTAAAATAATAAAATGAAGCAAAATAAACTCACGGAATTCAACCAAATTCCCTTATCTTCCTCAAACCATTAATCACTTTCCTCCTCTTATACTGACTTAACAACATCGCATATTCCCTCTACACCTTCCTAAATCCCGTATTCAACACTGAATGCAATCTTGTGACCTCGTCACTCCCACAATCCTCAGTACCTTATACTCTTATCAGTAGCTTCTGAATAACTCTACAGAACACCGAAGAGACAGACCTAAATCGCAAGCATGTCACCACCCCCCTCCGCCCCCTCCGCCCCCCCCCCCGCGTCTCACAGAAGCGAGGGGAGGGGGGGGGTTTTAGCAGAGGGGGATTTGAGTGGAACAAGAGAGAGACTGCCTGCCAGCACGAATTTAACCATGTCAACGCTGTACAGTAACAAGACAGAAGGACAATTACATTACAAAGCAAAGAGACACAAAAACACAACATTTCATTTATACCCCCACCCTCTACCAGGGTAATGGCTAACACAAAATACAAAAAAAAAAACCCACAGCGTTTTAAGATTGGGGTGGGATGGTGACCATGGTCAGCTACATTTCGGTCATTACTGACAGGATGATGGAAGTGGTCACCTCCTGGACAGGGCACTGCTGGGATAACTTCCCAGTAACACAATTATTATGATATACATACAATCTTAAACCTTTGTGATCAATATCTTCCTCAACCTATCCCTTTTGCTGAATAGTTCTTGCTACTCGGTACCAGGCTTCTGCTGTACAAACCAAATCTTGGTCCGACAGCTTCCCTTTCTTCTGTCAGTAACTTACGCCAGCTCTCTGGCTACAATCTGCCGCACAGAGGTACGGTAATTCCACATACTTTAGCAATCTTCCTCACTTTCTTAACCATCTCTTCTCCTTCTCTGTCTTCCACTAGATCACATGCTAACCAACCCTTACTGGGTTTATCTAACTTCTGTCCCATCCTCCCTATACAAGGCGTCCCAGATATAGAGAGAGAAAGGAACAGAACGTCTACCGTGCTCGACTGCTACTTTAAGAGCAAGCTCTTTAAGTACGTCTTCCCAAAGCGTAGACTAGTCACTGATTCCGCCTACCCGTGGTAGCCGCGGATTGGAGCGTGGCGAGAAGTGTGTGACCAATCACTTCTCTCAACAGAGAAAGAGAAATAGGAGGGGAAAGTGAAAATAGTACAGTGAGTAAGATAAAAGTAAACACAGGAATCTGTGTGACAGACAATTAAGTCAATAACATTTCAGTGTAAATACAGTGCATGCATCACAGTTCAAATAAGTTCAACAGTGTTATCCCTTGCCTTTACTCGTGTGGCCAAAAGCCACCTCCCTCAACCTCGTAGTGTCCCTGTTGCGGACCCACCTGCAAGTCTCACTACCAGCAGCCACAGGAAACAGCAACAGCTTCCAACCCGAATCCTGTATAGCCTAAAGAATTGGAATCTTACCTGCCTCAGCGCTTGAGACTGGAATTTTACCAAGAAGAAGTGTCCGATGAGGCTAGCTAAGCAGTCAAAGCGACACTATGGGGAACCCCCAGGAAGCAGTGAGTCTACACCACCCTCCACAGATTCCCCCTACTCTTTTTCCTTACAGCCACAGCTACGTGGCTCCTAAAAGAGTTAAACAGGCAATAGAGGACCCCAGGAAAACTTCCACAGGTCCACCCCCCTTTTTCCTTACTACCACAGGTATGTGGTACCTAAAAGGGGTTAAACAGGCACTTACACTCCCCGGGTACTAAGTTAAACACATACCAATACAAACACACCCAGGCAACAGATAGTCAACATGCAGGTAAACTAGGTATCATTAACAATACAAAGACTCTGGGCAAGTTATTACCTGACTTTGATGTCCTCTCGGCAGCAGTCACAGACACTGGGGCAGGTCAATCACAGGGGTAGGAACATACCGGCTAGGTGCTGCAGCAATCTCTACCGTGTATTCAGAGGTGATCAGGCTCTTTTCCTTCCCCCAGGATTCAGCCCTCCCAGCGTCTTCTTGGACAGCTGCCCAGACTGGACATAGCCCAGAGCCCCACGTTGAGAGCGCCAATTGTTCTAGATAATTTACTGCAAACCAAT